AGTTGCAATTGTTTTGTTGACATGCTGAATGCTTCTAAATAAATACAATTAAAAAAGAAAGAATACACAAAACATAAGTATAGATTGTAGGAACAGAATACAAAACTTCTCTGCAACTAAAATCCTTAAAAAAAAAAAATTGCTTCTACATCATGTACCTGCTTATTTGTCCTTTAGGGGACAGTTTAAGGTTTCCCACTTATAAAAACTGAGAAGTCTTCCTCCAGAAGATCTGGTATAAGTGTCCATTTTTCTTATTCTTCTTTATCCCCCCCACCCCCAGCTTTTAGAGTGGGAGATTATTTTTCACTTTCACTGGCTTCTAATTGCTATTCTAATTACTGTACTATCAGATCCGTCTCAAAAGAGTAGGTCTCCAGTACAATTACACTTCCCTTTTGTAAAGTGGGCATTTACTGAAATGTTGCTCTTCTGTGAAGTCCAATCTCTCTACTAAAAATGACATATCTGTGTTAAGTGCATTAGTTCCATACACTACCCTCACTAGTCATGACCTAAATAAAGGATTCTTTCACACATATTTCATAATAAATATAAGAATAGTAGTAATGCAGTTCCCCACTGACTAGTTCTCTGACTCAGAAAGTTTTACAAATGTGTGTATAGGCAACTGAAGTAGAAGAGAGATCCAAGAAATACTGACTAGTAAATCCAACAGCTCACACATTAGTTCTCTCAGTTTGAGTGGCTCTAGCCAATGTAGTTTTTCTGCATTAATATTTATCTTTTAGTTAATAAAACTGTATTTCAAAGATAAACAAGGGATTAATAGGTAACAGCACGATCAGATGTTGGAGTACTTGAGTCAGATAGCACCACCACCTTTAAGAACCATCCTAAAGAATTGATATATGGGAAAGAAACTCCCAACCTGATAGATATCTGATACAAGTTTGTGTTCTCTAAAATTCAACAATGAATTTTAGGAGCAGTGGAGGTTAAGAGCAGAATATATTTGTTGAGGAAAAGAATGCTTCTGAGAGAGAGAGAAGGGGTCCCAAGTGGTTTGCCATGTACCCTGCCTCTCTTAGGGATTTTATACAGCATAAACACAAGGTGAGAAAGGTCCAAGGTGGGGAACAATAGGAAATCACAAGGTGGGCATGAGGTGGGACAAAACTATGGTCAACCAATAAGATTACAAGTATAACTGTTCAGGTAAAATTGATTAAATGAGAGTCAAACAAGGAAGTAAATCAAGAAGCAAGCCGGCATGAATACAGAACAGGGGCTTTTCCCATAGGCGGTTGGGTTAGTGGCTCTTCCTGGCTTTCTCAAGGTAGTAAATACCTGACGTTGATCCTTAGGGAAGTATGAGTGCATTTGTTTCATCTTTTGCACAGTGGAGGTGTCTATTCTTCCCACAGCTGCAAGGTATATCGTCTTCTGCACTGGCTATACTATTTTATCTAATTCAGTTGCCTATAACACAATGACAAGATAAACACCTAACCCAATAAACCCCCAATATGTGAAGGTAAGTAGTAAATTGCAGTGTCAGGAAGCTAT